AAGGGCCATCATAAGAATCACACAGACTTCGAACAAGGTCCCATGTTTTCGATTTATTTGCCGTCTCCGGCCAACCATAAATTCCAACAAACCTTCACCTAATCCAATCCCCATCAACAATGTCACCACAAATATGATGTTGCGAGAGAGAAATTAAGGAAAAACTGACATTATCTTTTTTCCAGTAAATGCACAAACCACTCGACAAACCAACACTATTCACATCAATAGCACAGTCAAAACCCAAACGAATTTTTAAGTTTTCGGACTCGCCTTTCTTTATTTTAGTCTCCGAGATGAAAAGTAAATCCGGGGCAAATTTGAGACACCACCTCCGCAGTGCCTTGACTGATCGAGGGTTGCCCGCACCTCGACAGTTCCAGCATAAAAGCTTCATTGCTCTTCACGGGGTTGGACTTTGCCAACACCCGTTACTTGGAGTTTAGAGTACTCCCCACTCTCTCCATTAGGAGTTTCGGTCCTCAAGTCTACCTCAAACCCCATCAGTCCTTCTGTCTCATCCCCAAAGCTCTCCTCACCCCTCTTATATCCCCTTTCACTCATCAACTTCATCCTCTTATCCCCCTTTAATTTCTGCTGCCCCACCGTATTTGAAATAAGCTCCCCGACATCCCTTTCTCTTCCAATGTTCACCCCTACTGCACTCTCAGAGGTGTCCATGAAATCCCCTACTCTCGCCCCTTTTTTAACAACACTCACCCCCTTCATAGTCCCTTTGCCAGTAGTCTCCTCATTACCCCGTGTTTGTAACTCACTTACACCCCCTTCCTTTCCTATACCCTCTTTCTCAGTATCCATCTCAGGTGAGTTGACCCCAAGAGAAGTAGGTGTTATGTTCTAAACAACAATAGGACCAGCCCGCAACACCAATTTATTACTACCCTCCTGTAAAATAGCACGCAACTATGCTTCTCTAACTTTTGGAGCAGAACCAGAATTTGGATGCAAGGGTGAGAATTGAAGTTTTCTGGCTGCACTTGGGGGACCTAGCCTTATAGTATTGAGATTATTGTAAGAGATTCTCTGCACATGCTTCTCCTTATCTCTTTTGAATAATACCACACGAGCACTAGTGCATTCTCACCATCTTTTTCTTCTTGTTCGAGGCAATCTTTATCAGTATGCCCCAACTTTCCACAAAAGTAGCAGAAATCTCCAAGCCTTTCGTATAGTATTTAAAACCAATCCACTTAGTAGTGGCAGAACTAGTTGCAATTTTGATTCGTCGACGCAAAGGTTTGTTAATGTCTATCATCACCTTCACTCGCATAAATTGATCCTAGCTAATCAGATCCGCATCATCGAACTCCAAAAATTCTCCAATTGCATCACCAACTTCTCGAGCAAATACAGCATTGCGTTGTCCAAAAGGGACATCAAGAAGTCTAATCTAGAAGGGTGTTTTATCACACGCAACGTCTGAGGGTTGTTCATCTTCATCAGTTGTTTTCAGAAGCAACATTTGATTGTCAAAATACCATGGTCTCACTTCCAGAACTCTAGTCTTATCTTCCTCGTTAAAGAATTGAAAGATAAAGAGATTTGTTTCAACAACACGCATAGCCATATTATCCGTCAGCCTCCAAAGGCCATGCAAAACCCTCTTCATTGCCTCCATGCTGTAGGGTTTGTTTGTAAGCATCTTGCCTACAAGCGAAAGGTCAAGTCTCACTTTTGTCTTTTCATCAATAACATCATCCACACCATTCCCAATAACCAGATTCTCCTCCTCCGTGAGTTTGAGTTTCTCCCAATCTTTAACTAATTTTTCCGCCATCGTCACATTAGGATAAGAGAGATTACAAATTCCGGAAGAAATTTGCCAGAATGAGATCTAAAAACAAGAGAAAACCGACTGCGACAAAACCTACTCGAGGGACTTTTTTATACTATTTCTTTGGGTTGTAAATAAGTATAAGCACATTACACATTAATCTGTAGGCTATGTTCTTTTCACCTTATTTTTACTGACATGAAATTAATTTTACTAAATTGAAATTAGTTATGCCGAACTTAAATTATTTTACTAAACTGAAATTAATTTTCTTGAACTAAAATTATATTTATTGATTCTCTATTATAGTTCTTCTTTATAATTACTAATTTCTACTAAACTGAAATTATTTTTATATAATATTATTTTTGTAAGGTGAAGAGGACATTGCCTAATTAAGGTTTTATTTAGTTTAATAATATACCTTATATATAGCCATATAAGGGCTTTAAATATCATTTTCCATAAAAATAAAAATAAAAATAAAAATGAATAATTTACATTCTTATATTTCTCAAACTCTAAATTATCCAATTTCATTTTATTTAATTTTTTTTTATGGAAAATATATATCTCAAATTCTTTAAAGATAGACCTCTCGGTGCAGTGGCCTAAAGGTCACCTCGCATCCTTGAGATGCGAGGTTTGATTCTCATCGGTCACAAATCCCCCCTTATCCCCGCTGAGGCATTGCCAGCCAGACTTCCTATGATACATAGAAGCCTTGATTGGGGCCCAATTACCTAAATTTTTTTTTTTTTTTGTAAGAAACTACCTAATAAAAGGTAAAATGTAGTAATATACTATACTACCTTTAGTCGAATTTCCACATTTGAACTAATTTTACGGTATTGAACCACCTCAAAACACCTTCAAAACTACTGCGGGGGTTGGTTTTCAAGGTGGTAAGGTTATTTTCACGGTGGTTGAAGGATACTCCGAGTTTATGAGGGTAGTTTCGTGATTCGGGATGGTGATTTTTGGGGTTAGACGTGGTGGTTTTGGGGATGGTGGGTGGTTTCGGCGTGGTGGAGGCAATTTTAAGCAGGTTGTGTTAGTTTTGGGGATGAAAACTGTGGTTTCGGGGGTGTTTTCAGGTGGGTCTATGGTGGAAATCCGGCAAAAGTAGTATTTTACAACATTTTATATTTTATTAGGTAGTTTCTTACAACATTGTACCTTTTATTAGGTAGTTTCTTGCAACACATTTTTTTTTATTAAATAGGTAATTTCTTACAAAATCTGAGTTTTATTAGGTAATTTCTGACAAAAAATCCAATTTTTTTTAATAGATATATATATTATTACCAAGTACGTACGGATTAACAACAATGTGATTTTGTTCACAATGACACTTTTTCCTTGTTGAACAAAATACAAGGAGATTGCTTTCATTTCCCGTACGTGACTCTTTGCAAATACAATCTCTCCTTATCCAATCTTAGAATATATGTGCAGTTTATTCTTTTGGTACTTTGCTCTTTAATATTTCAAATATTGTTAACATAAATCTCTCATTTCATATATCTTTATTTTATAATAGTCATTTCATATATCTTGAAGAATATATTGATTTTTTTTTTTTTTTATTTGAAGTTTATTAAACCTTTTTGAGGTCGCCAAACAAATATATAGAAAAGGGGTTTTAATTGTATGTTATGATTATTTGTTTTAGGCTAGGTTAGTTTGTTAAGCCTTATCAAAAACGAAGTACGTACCTAGTAAGAGTAGTGATATACGACTATCCGAGTACTACTTTTGTTTTATAATGTTATTAACATTTATAATTTGCACAAGAATTGTAATAAAGGGAGAGTGTAAGAAGTGGACGTGTGTAAGAAAAAAGTGGATGAAATAAGAAAGATAATGTAAAAAGGTGAATGGGTGTAAGAAAAAAGTTGGATAAATTAAAAAAAAATAGTTGAAAAGGTTTATATATTATGGTATCAGGAGGGAAATTAAAGGTAAAATAGATTTGACGATGAGAAATAAAGTAGATATGTTCATAACATTATGAAACAGATAAAAACGGAATATGTTATAAACATTCTATCTTTCTACAAATTTCCATTATTATATACTAAGCGAAATTAGTTGTGTATCTGGTTTTCTCTCCTCTATAAGTACTGTCTTTTTCCCTTCCCTATATCGTCTTTTTATCTCCTTCCTCATACTCTACAATCGTGCGTTGTACGAGTCATTAGACTAGTTGAAATTAAAAGGAGAATTATCTTAATTTATAGAATAGCCTTGTCATCCCTAGTTAATTACAGGCCATGGGCCAAAAAATATATATACAATCCAATGATAAGACACAAACCACCTTACTACATTAATTAAGTAATAAAGCATGGGCCAAAGCCATTCAAATCCAATGGTTTTAGATTAAGAAATTAATTAAACAAGTCAATATCAAGTCTTATCGATCTTAGGGATTAGGGACATATAACACTAAAAAAAAATTACTATGTAATTAATCACCCTAATTGTGTGCCTAGGTTTAAGATTATAGCTCAAATAAGGTTTTCTCCTTGGGAGGCTTTTTTTTTTTTTTTCCTCTCCTCTAGGGTTTCTCCCTTTGGAGGGTTTTCCTAGCCTCCATTGCTAGGTTTTTTTAGTTTATTTTAAAGTTTTTCCTTCTCTCTTCTCCCTTTTCTCTCCATCATTACCATCTCTTTCCTCTTGGTCTCAATTGTGAATCTTTGTAGGGGTTTCCACTAGTGTTCTTACCGGTGGTAAGCCCCCAATAACCTTTTAATTGCTTTCAATAAATAAATCCCATCCTTGAGATGATAATTTTTCACTTGAGTTTATTTTCTTTTTATGTTTGTATGGCAAAAATTAAAAATCTAGGGTTTCATAATCTCTACAAGAATCCGGAAGACCACTGCACATGAGTATTTTCACTCAAATGACTACGCATCAGTGGATTTCAAGCCGAATCAGCGCGAACTCACAGATTGTATTGCTTCAGATGAAGTTATTTATTAAGGCGATTGTTAATCAAATCTACGATGTATTTAATTTTAAGGTGTGTACTTGTGTTGAAATTCTTGATTTCTTAGGAATTATATGTAAGTGTCGTTTGGCTACATTTTATTAATGAAATTCCTTTTTCTTCTTATTAAAAAAGATTATAGCTCAAATAATGCTAATAATATTCTTGAATGATTGCTTTGGCTGTGGAAAAACATAATGATAAACATTCAAGAAAAAGAAAAGCACCATTTAAGCCTAATCGTACACTTGAAAGCAAGAAAATAATGTGAAGGGGTAGAAAAAGAGGGTCCAAAACCTACTTTTTATTGGCCCCATTTATTTGCCTATCTCTTTCTCACCGTAATTATTTAATTTAAGCTCTTTCTTTCTTTCTTTCTTTTCTTTTGTTTTTTTTTTTTTTCCCCTCTCTTTTATTTTCTTCCTTCTTCTCATTTTTCACTTAGCTTCTTCAATATTCTTCTTACTTACTACTCTCTTGTATAGTTGTACCAAAATAATAACCAAAGGTGAACAAGGGTGAAAATTCTTAATCATGTCATCAAGCAACATGAAGGGTAAAGATTTAGTAAATCATCAAGGACCGTTGTCGGTGGGAGCCGGATCCCGGTCCTTAATGATTGATGATGAGGATCACAATAACCAACACCAAAACCAAAACCACAACCAGAATCAGAATCAGAACAGACAGTCACCGGCTCCACTAAGCCGGTACGAGTCCCAAAAACGACGCGATTGGAACACGTTTTGCCAATACTTGAAGAATCAAAGGCCCCCAGTTAATGTCATGTCACAGTGCAGCCCAAATAATGTGCTAGACTTCTTAAGGTACCTAGACCAATTTGGTAAAACTAAGGTACACATTCAAGGATGTGTTTTCTTTGGCCAACCTGAGCCCCCAGGCCCATGCACTTGCCCCCTTAGGCAAGCTTGGGGTAGCCTTGATGCCCTCATCGGACGGTTACGAGCCGCCTACGAGGAGAACGGAGGTCCACCCGAAACCAACCCTTTCGCTAGCGGCGTGATAAGGATGTACTTAAGGGAAGTGAGGGATACTCAAGCTAAGGCTAGAGGAGTTCCTTACAAGAAAAAGAAGAAGAAGAGAAGCCAATTGAAAGCTGCTGCAGCAGCTGCTGTTCTTGTTGCTAGTAGTAGTAATACTAGTGATGGAAGTTCACGGTTTCCCATGCAATCTCCTTCTTGATCAATGATCATATTCTATATAATATGAAGTCATACTATAATTAGTCTTTTGATCTAAAAGACTATATTATATATATATAGGTAATTTCCCATCTTAAATTTCCTTAGGTTCATGTTTTTAATTTGTTTATTTGCATACATTTTGAAGAATTTTTGTTTTTGATTGTTACATATAGTACATGTTATTATATCTTGCTACTAGTAATATATACACTACAGGAAATTGGGTTTAATCTCTCTCTGAGTCGATAATTTGATTGATATTACATCTTCGTGTACGGATTGATTGTTCAATTCACTACTCTGTTTCACTACAGATCAAATTAATATGAACAAATTTAAAGTAATACCAAAACATAATACAATCAATAGCACACATATATAATCATTTAATATTAAAAGTATGAACAAAAAATATTACATCAATCTTGTTTAGAATTGTTTATATGTTAGGATGGTTTGACTCGTTTTTGAATTAGTACATTAACCTTCCTATTAAAAAATTAAATTATAGAAAAAGATATCATGTTAGAAATCCTAGTTAATTAATTGGGTATATATGTTTAAAATTTTCAATTATAATTAGCACCATGAATGAAATTGAAGCTAAAACCCTAGCTTATCCAGGTGATGACTAGGTGAGGGCGATGCAAAAACCCTAGCTTTTTGGGCAATGGGTTGCTTACTTTTTACAACTAAAGACAAAAAGTTAATTTATTTTTTTTAACTACTGTACATTACTTAAAATAACACTGTGCTTCTTCCTTAAACATGCATTTTAACAATTTAATTTTTTTTTACTATTTTTACATGTACACACCAATTATTGGAGGACATGAAATGAAATATTTTATTTATTAATTTTTTTTAAAATTTTATTTTTAAATTTTAAGGGGATTTTCCAAATTCCAATATGTTCACATTTTGCTTTTTATAGCCGATTAATGGTTGCTTTAAGGATTCTGCACCAACTTATGCCTGCCATGGTTTTGTCCATTTATATAATATTATTATGTGTGACATGATATGATGATCACATCATAGAATATATATGTAATATATTTATATAAATATATTTATTTTTATGGGACCTAACATCTACAAGACTACAATGATGGGGCATTTGTTTGAGGGTCCATAGACAGGTTAATTTGGTTTCTAACATCACCAATTTCCACTCCATTTCTATAGTTTGTTCTTGCGCGCTTCTTTTTCGATTTTATTTCCTCTTTCTATTCATCAATCAACATGGTTTTTTTTTTTTTTTTTTTTTTTTTTTTTTTTTTTTTTTTACAAGAAATTTAATGTTTAGATTTGAGCAGAGAGTCTTGCATTGCCTCTCTTATTGTTTGAAAAGTTTTGAAAGGTGAGGTGAATCTTATTATATAGATCATATGTATCAAGCTATCAACTAATTGATATTTCAAACTTAAATATTTCAATGTGATATAATAATCCAAAGAGATCGATATTATATTACTAAGCACCGAATAATGTTACTTATGCAAAAAAAGAGGAGGGGGGGTAATTATGCGTGACACATCACACAAAAATCTTGGCGACTCAATACTTGTTACATAACACTCAAAATCTAAAATGTAAACTCTATCACCTGAGACCAAAATCCCAAAAACTTTTATACTCATCAAAGTTCGTTTGGTAATGGTTGATGGAAAGGCGGCACACAATAGGGATCGGAGGAGTTTTGCAGGTGGCAGATGCAGTGGAGCGCGTTGTGGTAACAAACATAGGAGGAAATTATTGGAATTTTTTTTTTTTTTTTTAATTTAAGAAAAAAAGGTTTCTGTTTATTTATTTTTGGCTACAATTTTTTAGTTAAAATTTAAATCATTTGAAAAATTGTATTTGAAAAATGAAATAGACAATTATCTTATATTTGATCATGGAGGTGAATATTTAAGCCAAGAGTTGTTGATCATGGGCCAATTAACCATAATGGTATAAAAATTAGCACCCTTATGACATATTGGTATAAAAATTATCGTAGGAGACATATTGGTATAAAAGTTAGCAAGTGGCAACAGATTGGTATAAAAGTTAAATAAGTGGCGACATATTGGTATAAAAGTTAACAAATGACGGCATATTGGTATAAAAGTTAGTGAGTGACAACATTTAACCCTTTTTCTAACCTGAATAATAAGTGCATATTGTACACATGATTTATTTTTATTCTTGTAACTTTATTCTATTGTTTTTCTATACCTTTTTTTGGTTCAAATATTCATTAATTTTTTTTTAAACACTATTAAAACAAAAAACAAAAAAAAAAAAAGGCCAAAGAATTAAAAAGAAGGAAAAAGGGGAGGAAATACGAGAATATAGAGGAATAGTTAGGATTATGGATAGAAATTAATCAAGAAAAATTACAAGATTAAGCTTTGAATACATACATTCGAGATTACATTGAGCTTTCAATTTTATTGCAATATTCAATATTATATAAATAAATTTTCTCCCAACTTCTTAATTATTAAATTAACATGCCAATTTAAACTTTTGAGACGGTAAATCATAAGAATTTATCTTTCCTTTCACTTTTTGATATTTTTGTTTGATCTTACAATATTTTTTTTTTCCAATAATCTTAGGTGCATGAGCATGGAGGAGAGAATTATTTGTTGTTAATTATGAGTATTAACAACAATGAAAAAATTATCAAAAATTTAAATTAAAATAATAATTAAGCACTTACTCCGGCAAGAAAGTAAGGGTTAAATGTCACATCTTGTTAATTTTTATACCAATATGTCACTATTTGTTAACTTTTATACCAATTTATCGCTGGTACGGTGCTAATTTTTATCAACTAGTGTCACGGAGCTTTCATTATCCTTTGGGGAATATGAGTATATGACGAATCAAATCAAAGTTCCCTCAAGATGAATTGATGAGATTAAGCGAATGAAAGATAAGTCTAATGCATTTGCAATAGAATCTCTTATGTATGCCATAATCTATACTAGCTCGTTTAGCTAGATATTTAATATGATTTAAGTATGTGTAGCAGATTTCAATCAAATCCGATCTACGTAATCTGCACTATAATACAACTAAGAACATTCTAAGTACTTAAGAAAGACGAATAAGCTAGGACATTTTCGTATTAGTGTGTAGAGGTGAGGTGAGGATCAACTATTTGTTAAAGGTTTGCAAACAACGATGGAAGTTTAAGTTTAAAAATCATATTGAGAATATTATTCAAAATATATTAGAGAATGGCTTTGATTGTGTGATATTAAGAAGTAATATTAGATCACAATATATAAGACTATTAATTAGTTGCTTTTATTTATTTATATTAGTAAATTTTGTTTCTTATATAATAGTGGTATAGAATTAAATTAAATGTCCAACATATATAATTTGTGATGTTCAATAGGCCGAATTGTCAAGTACTCAAGTGTGTGATTTGATGATTGAAACCCTATTAACTTAATAGACATCTAGCTAGTGTCCTTATTTTAAGTCATTAAGTTGGGCATAAATTAAATTTCGTGTCAAAAACAAAAAAAAAAAGGTTGGGCATTAATGACTGGTAAAAAATGACTAGGTTATAAGTTCATTGATTGATAGCTCAATTCCATATGGTATAAATCATACAAATACATAGGGATGTCTAACTAGTTAGGTTGTTCTCAGCTCTTCACCTTATTTTTGTTGAACTTATTTTTATTAATTAAAATTTATTTTTACTAATTTTCTATTATATTTGTTTTTTAAAGTTACTAATTTTTACTAATAAAAACTTATTTTTTCTAAACTTAAGCTATTTTTATTAACCTATTTTTACTGAACATAAATTATTTTCCTGGACATTATCCCTATCTTTTAAAAAGTATGAGTTAACTTTTATGAATAGTGTTTGGACAATTATATTCTCTAAAATGTTTATTTACTTATTTGCCCTCATCAATATAATGTTAATTACCTCTTTTTTTGAACTCTTATGAATAGTGTGCATACAGTTATACACCTAAAATATTTGTTTATATGTTTTCCCTAATTAATACTGTCAACAACTAAATTTAAATCAAAAGAGTTCTCCGACATGGCTGGCTATTGCGCGCATCATATGCGTTAGCCACCCTTGAATAAGATTAGGAAAACAGGGTCTTACATATACATATATATATATATATATATATATATATATATATATAGGGGAGGGATCCGGTAAGAACCCCTAGATATATAAGAACCCTAGATATATAAGAATCCATCTCAACCGTAGGATCAAGTTGTTTTAGACGGTTAAGATTAAAACACGTGTCCAACTTTTTCAACCCCCTTACCCACCTCCCAACCTTTTCTCTCTCCTCTAACTTTCTTTCCCTTCTTCCCGATTCTCTCATTTTCTCTCTCCTAAAACCCCCAAAAATCTGATAGAAGTTGCAATTTGAAGGATTTTCGCTTCAGGTATGTTTTTCTTTTCGATTTTGTTCAAATTTTCATGAAATTAGCATGATGTTCAAGTGAATTTGCAGTTTTAATTGGTGATTTTTGCAATTTTTAGGGTTCGGATTTAGGGTTCTATTTTTGCGATTTTTAGGAGTCGATTTTTGCGTATTATTTTGTGCGATTTTTGAGTTGGATTTTTCGTATGGAGTTTGATTATTTTGAGTTCGAGTTTAGCAAATTTAGGGTTCGAATCTTTGCGAATTATTTTGTTCGATTTTTGCGAATTATTTTGTTTGATTTTTGCGAATGATTTTTGTTCGATTTTTGTTCATTATTTCGATCAATTTTTGTTCATTATTTCGTTCGATTTTTGTTCATTATTTTTTTCGACTTTTGTGAATTATTTTTGTTTGATTTTTGTGAAATATTTATGTTCGAAAAATTTGATCTGTCAATTATTATTTTTTTTTGTTCGAATTAGTTCGATTTTTGCAAATTAATGTCAATTTTTGAATTTTTTTTTGAGTATGTGTATTCGAACAACAGATCTGTTGCTGCTATGGCTATTACTACAGCCTCTTCTACTCTGCCTACTGCCCCTCCTATCTTCTTCAAGGTTAATTTATATATATTTTGTAGTTGAAGGCATTTGGTGAATTTTATGAAGAAATTGATAACAAGAGTGTCGTTTTGTCCACTTTCGAAACAAGAAACATTGAGATGAAATGGAAGAGCAATGCAAACAAACATGATTGTGGAGTATTTTTGTTGAAGCACATGGAAACCTAGGACAATGTCAAAAACAATGAAA